ACCACGGAAAACTTTAGATCAGAGCTGCCAGTCGTTGCTTGAATCTCTCGACGTTTGGAAGACTTATTGTACTGATGATACTCCTTTCTCGTCAGGGTTGCTCAAGTGGGCGGCTCACTAGGTGTACCCTGGTTCCGCGCTCATCTTCAGGTAACCAGTGCAGCTGTGGCGCACTGCTTGTTGAGACATCGTGTCGGAAGAGAAAATTAGGGGGAGCTCGAGTGTGATCGGCTCTAATCTACTGAAATTCGATGATTTAGATGAAATAATTTTAGAACAATCAATCAAATTCCTGCTTGCATTTTTGGGTGTAGGAGAAATGTTTAATATATTAATATTAATATATTAAATGTAAAGAGTTCTCAGATTTTAAACGGGTAAAAACTACGTGTTTTCTAATTTGAACTATTTGGAGATCATTCTCTTCAGCATATCTCATTCCAACTCAAAATCCTTTTGTCTCTTACAATGCTTCTTAACTAAAAACAAATTTCATCTCATAAAAATTGTTGGTGACTCGTAACAATTTTATGCTCATGTCAAAAATTTCATTTGCGCTTTTACATGACAATTAAGTGAACCCTAAAATTTACGAGGTTTAAACAAGTGAGAATCATCCAGCGACCTTGACGCTCGTTCCGCTCACCACACGCTCTTATATAAGGAACATGTGACTTTGAGCTTTTCTTTCAGTTACATTGCAATAGGTATTTTCATACGTAAACACGTCATATGCAAAGACGTTCTTCTAAAATAAACGACTGTGAATGCGATTATAAAATAATACAAAACACAAACTCAAATGAGAGTACTCACATATAACTATCTAGTGAGAGGAAGCGCCTACTCTCACACAGACATGAACTATCACATGATACATACGTACGTCCTTATTTTTTTCCTTACGCGAAAATTCATTAGAATGCATTCTGTTCCACTAGACATCTCTGCCAAACACTGCCTTTTACTTCTCAGCTTTTCAGCATTGCAACGCGTTAATATAAATTTGATTACAAATTTCTGTCAAGGGCAGATAATAAAATTAGGTGATACCAACATAATTTTGTACAAAAGAGCATTATCACGCATTAACAGCATTATATTTACTCTTCTTTAAGACAACGAAAAATGTTTGTTAGTAATTTCGTAAAGATTGCTCTTGAGCTTTAGAATGTCCACGCACGTCGTTATTGAGGCAATATAAAGGCAAAATAATTCTTCTGACATGGATGTTTGCTGATCTCCAAATTACTATGAAACATTTTTTAACTATCTACTGTGTCGAACGAAAATATATACCTCCTCCCCCAAACCAAGCTGTGTGAATAATAGATCTGGGTCTATGGGGACATTCTGCTTCAATATACAATAGATAAATGAGAAGTGCTACAACAGCACATACTTGCTCAAATTATTTTAAATATATCAATTCCGTTTAGAACATTTAAAAAGTTTTCAGGTGTGAGAACATCTTTTTTACTCATTTCTCAAAGTTGGCACATTTTACAGGAAATGGTGCAAAAGTACTTTTTCTCGTATTTTTGTAACATATTACATGACAGTCGCATAACAATGAGAGGTGGGGGTCAAAGATAAACCGCAGCGCAGTTTTCTCTATCTTTATTTAGACAACGGGTTACCGTTTCATCTTTTAGAACTTTAATTAGGATCTTTATAAATACTTACTAATTGTTTAATCTTTCAACTCTTATCAACATTTCGCCGAGAGAAGTAATAGCGTTTACATCGTGCAATGTGGCTCCACGCTTATCGTAAGTTGTCGCTTGTCGTAAGTTGTCGCTTGTCGTAAGTTCACATTGCAGTGGTTACTGCTGGTGCTAAGAGTGGTGAGTTTAGTGAAACGACTGATGAATATTCAAGTAGTTTCTTTTCAAACTGCTAAATGCAAAATAGTGCAAAAGTTAGTGAGTAAACAACTATGATCTGGTCTCTACCAGAACATTACTCAGTAAACTACAAAGATATTGGCACTCATGCACTACTGACCTCAACATTATTGCAGTGTTTATTGCGCGAATTGCAGTCCCCACAGGACAAGCATTTAAAAGTGTTTTAGGAGCATTAAATATATCTCATTCAGGTGTAAATACAAGTATGTAAATGGTAGAGCACACTACTATTGCAAAAGCTACAAAAATCACAAAACTTCCAACTTCAAAACAAGTAGCTTTAATGCTTGAAGACTAACAGGAACACTTACGCCAAGAGGTTCAAGAAGAGCATATAAATATTCTGCAGCTGCAGCAATATCGATGTATTCAACATGTCCCGCATATTGAAGATTCTACACTGCAGATACGTAATCAGAATCAATCCCTTCAACTAAACGTAAGAAAAGAATCAAATGTTATAGAAGACAAAATGTTATAGATGTGTGTTATAGAAGAAATGTAATAGAAGACAAATGTTATAGAAGACTACAAGAAGACAAAGAAAACAAGATTGAGATTTTTTTCCCAGTGTCATATAGATACGATATGTTAATGGAAGAAGAATTCCCAACAGAATCGGATAATGATACTGCCATAAATTCCGTGGTCGTAGCAGATATCTTGTGGTAATCCATAGTGTGAGAAAGGAAATAATCGTCCACAATAAAAGTTATAATAATTTTATTACTTATCAAATTCCCAGAGTTAACATTCGAAAAAACAATTTTCCCGTCTTCAGTTGGTCTCTCGGAAGGAGAAGGAAAATTGAAAAATTAACATGAAGGGAGAAAAAAGAAATAGAATAAAACTGTGTAAAAATTAACAAATAAAATGAAATAAATAGATAAAATTAAAAATACTTAATGTTCAAGCAACATGGATCAATTTCAAACGTTCACAACATGGTCGGATAGAACACAAAACTGAAAAACGTAATGGGTATAGTCATCTTCTGGAATAGAGAGGAGAGAAGAGAAAGCCTACTATGGTGTGTGTGTGTGGGAGGGGGGAGTGAACTGGAAGAGGAGAAGAGTAACATTGTACATTTGAAATATTTGTTTAGAAAACGTGACCTTCTTTGTCCCCGTAGAACAGATTTCAATAACAGAATAAGTGCGCCAGAGGCGGTAGTACTGCTCATTGACGGACAGGTATCACGGACCAATCAAACATGGTTTCTGGCTACAGAACGAATTAGAGGAATTAATTCACTACACATAGGAGCAATAATTATTCAGTTTTCGATATCATAGTCCCATTAAACACGTTTTTCTGAGAAAATAAAATCGCGAAATCGTTTTTCTCTTTAGCATTACGTACCTTTCTCTACTCTTCGCAGTAGTACAAATAAAGTAGAATTACCCGAGGAGCGTTTACGGGTCCTCTCTGGCACCCAAGTGGTGGAGGGGTTCCATATCGGCAAAGGAATTAGAGACGCATGGAAGGGTGCGAGATGGTATGTTTTGAGAATACGCGAAGGGTGGAAAGGAAGGGATGAGTGGTCGGTCTACGTCTGGAAGGATAGTACAACAAAAAACGTTAATAAATAAATTAAAAATGTTAGTTTATTGTGTCTACTAAAGTGCCGGTCTGGATAAAAAAGATGGTTCGAGCGTGTACCGTGTCAACCGGAGAGGTCGCAGGTTCAAGTCCCGAGCTAGCAATGCCTTTCAGCTGTAATCAGCGCAGATCAGTTTGCAAGAGTGTTGATGGTTAGCAAACAATTCAAGATATTCCTTGATTCAAATTCCCTTAAAATTCTAAAACACACGTTGTCATTTTGTTGCATTTAACAAAGCGTTGATAAAGCAGCACAATATATAATTACCTCTAGTACTCAGTGGAATAATGCTCTTTTTGTAATTTATGTATTTAGTAACAAATATTTTACGTTATCAAGTACTATTAACATAGTATTTACGAGTAATACTGCTAAACTTGGCCGAAAAGAAAATTAATTGAGAATATTTTGAAATACGTGGACAAAAAGTATTGAATAAATGGAAGAAGAATCACGATTTAGGTATACGAATTTTACGAATATCTCGTATTTAGTCCTCAAAGAAATTAATCAAAGCAAAAACTAAACAATCTGTAATTACAATAGCAGTAGCAGCAATGCCTGCCAATAGTTAAATTTCATAGATAATCTTTAAGTAGATAGATAATAGATAACGTCTATAAATAATCAATTGCAGTTAGGCTAACTAACCACGCCCCGTTAACCTGCCTCCAATAGATGAATTTGAGCGGAAATGAACGCAGAAATCAAAGAAGCATTTAAAAAGAGACGAACTGTACTTGACAAGGCCCTACCGTATATTCGATATTGTATGGAAGCTTATATATTGCGTTTCGAATAGGCCTTGCACATATGGTTGCAAACGGCGATTCACTTTCTGACGAGAAACAACATTTCTCATGACAAGCCTATATCATCCGGCAGATTCGATTGATTTTTCTATTACTTGCGTCTTCTATTTTCTATATTGAGATTTTACATTTAGCATTAATCACTTTTCTGCCAAATAAGTTCCCCAGCGTTCGTTTGGAGCATAAGAATGGTTGTGATTGTTCGCTTCTACTAATGGTTCCTTTTAGATTTAACGAATAATACATATCTCTTCCTTTATGAAGAGTTGCAATTTTAGAATTGTTCAATGCTTAAAGTTACTTTAAGCTAAGGGGCAAATAATTCTCCAATATTTTGTATTTGCGAAAGGAATTTGCATTTTTAGCATTGAGTCTTCAAATGCAAACCCGCAGGCCAGCTGATTCCAATGAATACTATCGCTGCAGCGGGTAGTTCCACGAGCTCTGTAAACTTAAAAATCAAGCGGTCGGTAGTCTTAACTGACGGATATCTAAGATTAGGAAAACTTATGCTTTCAACAAAATTAAGTACTACAAGATTGCTTTGCTGATGTCAGCGAGATGGATTGAAATCTAAACTATCAAAAGTGGTTATCTTTAGATCATCACTTGTCGAGTAAAATATTCATAACTACGTAGTTTTATGCAATCGGCGTACTGCCAGCAAGGGCTCACCGAAGACGTAGAAAATGGAGGCCCAGCCGAAGTGCAGTGCGAGCGCGCCCGACAGGAAGAAGACGAGCACGGTGCCGACGTTGGTGCCCGAGGCGGCGAGCGACGCCAGGCGTGCACGCTCCGTGGGCGGGGCCCAGCGAGCCCACAGCGCGCTCATGGCCGGCAGCGACAGCCCCTGCGCACGCCCTCGCTCAACCCACCAGCCCTCCAACCCAGCGAGCCCACAGCGCGCTCATGGTCGGCAGCGACACGACGCTGCAAGAGGATCAACACCCTGAAATTATCCGTGAGGATGTGCAGCCCGACCAATCGGCTGTAAAACACAAAACGCGGTCCAGGCGACGTGTGACGACCTGGAGATCCGCAGATCAAAACCGACTCTTCATTTCGCGAATGACCACGGATGATCTCCCGCCCAGCCTAATGTTCGCGAGCGCTCCGACCGACTATAGGGTTTTTCAATGGGTCTTCCGCTGCAGACGACGGGTATTGGACATGCAATCCTTCCGGAGTGAAGTAGCGACATCACAAACAATACCATCCTGTAAGTGAATTCCCGCCCATAATTATCAGCCAGAGGAAAGCTCAACAGATAATTTTATGTGAGAGACGATTTATCCATAATAAACGTGTCCTCGCGATTTTGTCGGGTGGTAACACAAAGAAATATAGGCTGTAATGTTGTAGTCAGTCAGCCAAATGTAATCCTTCAACTCAGGGCGCTCACCCCTGAGATGCCGATGTCTGAGGTGATCGGATAGCAAGTAAGGCATGAGCTTGGCGCCCTTTATATAAATTCAAAGCGTGCACCCCTCTGTCTGAAAGTAGCCGCCGCACCTTAAGTGTGACGGCAACCCCCCTTATGATTGTATGACTCCCAGGTTGCATTACAACATATACAAGCCCAGGTAGCAGTCGTGGGAAGAAAATGATGATGAAAACCGGGAAGTATTTACGCTTACCCGCAACGAGTTCTCTATAATTTGCGAAATTGTGTTGGATTAAAAACGACTTTCATTGCCAAGAGCTATAGAACTTTTCGCATAAATTTATATGAACCAGTAAATCTCGTAACGTCTGCGGTCTGCGATTTTCGGCCCCTTAAATTGCATTAAAAGTATTATTTAGAAAATTAAATGTAATGTATTGCTAACTACGCATATGTTTCATTTACCCTTTTATTCCAAGTCATAACATAACGTAGTGTTTGTGTTAGTGGAGAGGTTAGTTTACTGAGAAAATAAATTAGCTAGATTATCACGTCAGTGTTCTCAGCTGAGCACCTAGCATTGAAAGCTATCGTTCGCCGGCAGTGGTCGGATACTACACTATACTCGTATATCAATAAGTGCGAAATGAAAGCGAATGTTCTTTTTGCAAGGTTCGGGAAGAAACTGATTGAGCAACAACATAGTACTGACCCCGTATTACTTGTACCGGTAACTTAAAAATAAAGTAACTATTTTCCAAACTAACTACTAATTTCCAACAATCTTCTACAATACTGCCTTCATTAAATTGCTTGGAAAATTGATCACTATGACAATTCACTGACGCCTCAAACCCTACAACGAAAATTGATCTAGTTCATACATGAATAATAATATACCTAGCAACGCTGAAAATGAAAAATGTTGCTTTGGCTAATTTTTAATTCATACATAATTCGGTTTGAGTACTCCTTACATACAAATATCACTTTGTTTATAAAGTTTTAAAATAGCCAAGAGATAACAGACCAAAAGAGTCTAAAATATTAAGTAAAGCAGAAATCAAAATCTTTATTGTGGAGGACGATGATATATATTTGATTATGAAGATAGGGTTCATTTGGAAATTTTTGACGACGAATAATATATTGAAACTATTTTCAATCACAGATTTTGTACAGAATGTTGTTTTCCAAATGGAGCATGTTGCTAACAAGGAGTTGGTGTCTTTTTGCTTTAGATGACGTAGAATAAAAAGGCAATTATGTCGATGAAAAAGACTATTAAAGCGTGAATGCTTTAATCCTGGAGACAGATACGAGTTCAATGCGCTCGTTTGTCACCATGGATGATGAAAGAAAACTGAATGGTCTTATCTTCTAAAAGTAACCAGTTTTGCGGTCTTCACATGTGGAGGTGTAGTCTTCTCGCATGCCGCTTGGATAAATGATCAATTCTGCCGGCAATGTATACACTTTGAAAAATGTGTAGCAGCACTTTGCTAAAGTGAGCATTGGTATTCTCATATAAGCTTGATTATAAAAACTACATTGGAGACGATTTATGATGCATGTTTGGAACATTGCTTGTGAAAAGTGAGGAAAGTAGTATACTGAAACAGAAAAATCATGGGGATGGCAATCTCACAAGGTTGCCAACAGAAATGTCGCGGGTTTGGAAACAATTTGATACCAAGTACATTCTAAGGAGGGAAATAATTTATTATCACTTCAAGCTCAATGTGTACGTTCAGGAAATTGAGATTAGATGACATGCGGTACTTTTAGTATATGTACATTTTGTGTCGATTTTATAATGAAAAGGCTTTGATAGTTAACAGGATATTTCCCTTTTTTGTCGTTAACAGTATTGTCTTCATTTCTTAAAATACTTAAAAGATAATTTCAATAGATCTACTCTATGGATTTTGTTATAAAACATACTTCGCTAACCGAGTCTAACACTGCATGTAATGATATGTTATTGCCACTTGTATTGACTACATAAATGATTGAAATAGGAAAAAACACACGAAATTGTTTCATCCTTTTCAAAGCTTAATGGAACAATATTTTATACCGTTTCTTGAAATAGGTTCATCGTGAAAACTTTCGCTTGCATTCTAGGACTGTTTAGATTGCGTTTTAATACGAGGCACTAATTTAGATTTTGATGTAGTAACGACGTGGCATTGTGACCACCGGACCTCCCATGTTGGGTGGCCGGCGAGGGGGAGGTGGGTCCACTTTGGCGGCAGGCTGAAGGCCACCGAAGTTCCGAGGCCTATCCGAGGGGGCAGGCTGGGGCTCGTCTCGGAACGCGAGTATCAACTAGCGCAGAGGCGGATGATATATTAGAAGAAACTCTGACACCAAATTGCACAGGCCAAAATTCGGTAATGATACGACGCCGCCAGCGTGGGAGGGCTGTCACATGACCCCTCGAGAGAGGCTGGAGAGAACACCGCCAAGGCATTCGAGTTTAAACCGAAACGCGGTGCTGAATCACTTGTCACCCGCCAAGGGGTTATTGCAGGCTTCGGCTGCGAGGTGAGACTGTTCGCCACGGGGCGGGAGGCCAGGAGCGGCGCTGGGATCCTCATCCTGGTCAGTCTGGGATGCCTCAGTATGTACAGTACTGGGTGGGCAGCGCTAGTTACTCAGGAATGTAACTATTGTATAGAAAACTTGTAAATAAATCTGTACACAACAACTCCGTGTCTGTGTTTCACCACGACGACGTCACATTATGTTAGAAGACTGGTTAACTGCCTTTGGCGACTGGTTTTGCTTCTTGTAGTAGGAGCAATGCAGAAGAGAATGGTGTGATCTATTACAATGTCTACATCAACGTTGGTTACACGATGATCTGGAGTAGTTTTTCATAGACACTTTATGTATAGTGAATTGGTTCACAACACTTTTAAGGGCCCTGATTTGAAAGATGTTGAAACCGTTTGCACTTATATGACAGATGATTCACTTTACACGATATGCAATCCATTGAATCAGAGTTGGGGGAGTCATTTATATAACACACCTTTATTTAATCAGGTTGGGACACTTTTCACGAATTTGCTGTAACATACATTGGGCGATTTTTTAGAGAAATATCATTATTGACTTCTTAAGCATTTGCACCACGATTCGGAAAGTCCACTAGTTCTAGCAATGTTTTGAAGCATTTTTAAGATACCAAGATTCTGTAATCTTAAAATTAAACATTAGTAATATACGTTGAAGTATTACTTCACCTATCACCAACAACGTGAGTGTAAACCACTTCAATGTTTTGAAATTTGAGAAATTAAGATCCTATAATTATTTTTTATTTGATGAAAATTTAGGAGGGCCTTGTGGATGACCTTGACAGATGTATCAATTTTTTTCGATTTCTTTAAGAATCTATCAACCAAGAGTTGCCAAGCTATTTTGAAATTTTCACCTAACCACATTCAATGTACTGACTACACTGTAAGGTTCTCCTTTATGATGAGAGAGTAAATTAATATACTTTGGTTTCACCGAGTCGTTTTGTTTTCCACTTTTGTAATGAATATATCAAAACTGCATATGTCTTATTAAATATTAGGAGTTTGACAACTGGACGAAGAAATTGTTACGTGTCACCTTAATACAAGATTTATTATATCAGAAGTCCTCATGCAGAAAGACGTTTACTCTTAACATTTAAGAATCGGTCTTCTCAAATCAGATAAAACTTATTTTATTTGTCCCTCATTGTCACAGGTTTCAGCATATGTGTATGAAATATTATCTTACATACTGCCGTATTTGAATGAAAGAGTAGGTTTCTTCGTGGATACACTAAAAAGACACGTGCTGTCTGAAAAGAAAACACAGTCATATTAACTGTAATAAATCATAAAGAATATTTAACTATAAGATTCACATTTCTGCGCCAATACTTTCCGTTTTAAAAAATTCTTATAAAAATTACCGACTCACAGTTTTGGCACAGTAAGGCTTCGAATGTACATGATAGCATTGAGAGAGGATATGAATTCTTATATTGATATTGATGCAAAAGATCGACTTGTAAAAACAACACTTATTGGAAACAACTTTACCCGTCGTGGATAAGAAGCATCCAGAAATCAGCATCTGTCTGTTGTTTATTTATTATTTGAGTTCATAGTTTTCGTAAATTACAGTCACGTTTAGGGCAAACTATCGTTCCTAAGGACAAAGCAAATTTTCCAGAAGTTTGTAAGAAAAATTTTGGATTGTTATTTTCTCTACATTGCTATTATTATTTTTGATTATTCAAGTGAACGAGTTTGTAGTGTGGGCTTTTTTCGTGATTTTATGAGAGTTTAATAGATTTGACAAGTGAAAAGTAAACATTTCTGGAGTTTTTTTTTCTATTTTGTTATAATTACTATTATCTTTCAAAAATTGAAATAGATCTTCCCCTCAAGAGAAAG